AAATATTTCAAGCTGTATAAAACTTTTGTAACATAAAATATTTCTATAGTACCTATACTTGCCTGACCTAACCGAGTTATTTATATGATTTCGTTACGACATGGTACCTATTATAATAATATATTTACATTTTTCTAGTTTTTGAAAAAAATATTTTTAATACTTATTTAAACATGTATTAATAAATTTATTTGTGTTTTATAAATGTTAATAATAATTGAATTGTATTCACTGATCAGAACTGAATATTAAGAGATTATTGATGAAGACATAACATATATTATTCGTACTTGTGTTGTAATTATATCTTAAATTATTTACCTGCTTCAGGAGTCTTAACTTCAGTTTCGTCACTGTCATTATCTAGAATTATAATTTATAATCAAATATTGAAAGCTATATTAAACTTTTGTATCAGAAAATATTTCTATAGTACCTATACTTGCTTGACCTAACCGAGTTATATATATGATTTCGTTATGACATGATACCTATTATAATATATTAACTTTTTTCTAGATTTTGACAAAAAATATTTTTAATATTTATTTAAACACTTACTAAATTTATTTGTGTTTTATAAATGTTAATAATAATTGAATTGTATCATAACTTAAAAAGTTCAGAAACATGCATTAATATTTTATATGCACTAAAAATACGAGTACGTAGATAAAAAAGAAAAAAAATTATAAGAAATTTTTTTAAAATGTAAGAAACATTCATTCATAATTTTAAAACTTTTATTTTTAATCATTTTACGTTATAATTCCCATAAATCGTATACGGTGAAAAAATATAAATTAAATTTATAATTTATTATATTTCGTTTTATTCATAAAATGTTGGCTTTTTCATTATATCTGAATACAGAAAAATGCAACAATATATTGTAATAAATAATGTGAAATAAAATGTAATATTTTTGTTTGAGGTTGCTATTGGTTGCATTGTTGCACATGCTTATAATGGAATATATTTCGAACACGTACTTATTTCCACTTACTGTTTCTTTATTTAATCTTTTTGTATTTTTAGTCTACTTCATTTTTTTAGGACAATTAATAATATATATATCTACAAATAAATTCAATATTATACACCGCAGACGTTTTTATCCATCATTTTTATGATCACTCCATATTTAGTTTGGTATTATATAGTTATTTTATAAAATATAGTATGATGTAAAACATACTTTTATGAAGTTATTGTTTTGGACAGAATAAATAACATTATTGTATGTTTTAAATTATTATAACTTAAAATATTTACCAGGTTTTGGCGAAGGAGCTTTATACAGAAAAAAAATCAAATATTTATAGTTATTTTTAAATTGTTTAGAACATTGATTGGATAGGTATTATATTATAGTCACAATGCCACATAGATACTTAATACAATTACACATATTATACATTATAGACATTTTAAATTTTAACCAGTTTATGATCAAAATCATATTGAGTTTTGTATTGTACAAATTTTAGTCAGGGTCGTTAATAATAATTATAAATTATGATCATATATAATACATTTCTATGTCACAATTATCATATTTAACTATGGTAAATCGTACATGAGCAGTGATCTACATTAAGTACAAAAATAATACTTACGATTTTGTGACGATGAATGGATAAAGGTCGTACAGACGCATAGCACCATAAGTACAACGTTTAACTTGAATAACATTGATGCCATTTTCGTATGAAATTAGTTACAGACTTTTCTGAATAAATCTGCTTACTGTTTTTCAACAACGAATTTTAATAACAAAAGGAAAATACTAGACACACTGAGTTATATAAGCTCTTCTGTTTGTTTAGTTGTTGTTGATTTTTTGTGTCTGTGTCCCGTGTACTCAATAAGTAAGTAGTCGAAATAATGCTATAATTTTTAATTACAGTTGATTTGCTCGCAGAAAGTGAATCTAGGTCAACATTTAAGATTCCCAGTAATTTTCAAAAGCAAGTTGCAAAACATAAAATTATAACTAAAGAATGCGGACATTTTGACTCAAAATCGGTTTTGACAAAATCAATTTTGGTTTTTTTCGTATTACTAGAAAGTACCGTAGATACTTGAAATTTTTACTGAATGTTTATATTATCATTTTAAATTCACCACACAATATTCAAAATATTTTGACTCAAGTTGAGCTATTTATAGGCGTTTGAAATGTTCAATTAGGTACAATTCGCGGGTTTTCACTTAAATTGTTCCTTATACAAATTGGTATAAATTATGATACAATGCATAATTATAATACATTATCACACAAGCATACTTTGCAACACTTAAAATGACGCACCTGATATTATGAGCATTTGAACACATTATGTTACATAATATGTCGATACAATAACTTAACTTTGCAGTTTTAAAGTTCATAGAACGCTCCACCCTATATTTTTTTTTTTTTTATAAAAAACCATTTATTACATTTTATAATCACAATCATACAATTACAATGGTTTATCTACTTCCTGTAAGCAAAGCTTGTGTTGGAAGTAGAGAGTTATGAAATTATGAATTTATTGTTGTAATGATAATTAATAATATTTATCTATATATACTAATGAAAACAGATTTAAAAAAGTACAAATAAAGAGAAAAAAAATAAGAAAAGAAAAATATTAAATATAAGTACAGCATTTTTAAAAAACTTAATACACAGATCATATATACTATATACATAGAGTACCTAAAATAATATACAAAGTTTACAAGTATTTTAAAGCTCATGTAACAAAGTTTCACTTATATATCTATTTACATTAAATTTAGTATTTGTTCTTAAGTATTTTTTTACATTAAAGTTTAAGGTGTTGAATAGTTTTGGTCCCAGATAGTCGATGAATTTTTGGCCTATATTTTTTTTTGGATAATGAATCTTAATATCATAAGCTATGGTTTCACGCTTATTTCTTATATCATTCGGCGGAGAATATTTTTTTAGAGTATGACATATAGCAAATTTTTTGTACAAGAGAGTTAACGGTAAAACATTAAGTTCTACATAATTGTTCTTAGTGGATCCGGATTTATTTTTTTTGTTAAGACATGTACGAACTGCATTATTTTGTTGTGTATATAGTGGATTAAGTATACTATCTGTAGTACCACCCCATACAATTATTCCATACTGACATATGGACTGGTATAGTGACATGTATACAATTCTCATTGTGTCATTAGAAATTAATTAATTTAAGCTATATAATTTAAACGTAATCGTCCTTAGTCGAGTTATTATATTTAATACATGTATATTCCATCTCATATTGCAGTCAAACATCAAACCCAAATATTTTATTTTAGTCACTCTATTTATTGTGGAGTAGGTTGGAGTGTCTCTGTTATCATAGTTACAAACTTTGAGATGTTGTATTGTAAAATTTGATAAATTATAAATTGAAAAAGCCATAAAGAAAGTTTTATTATAGTTTATAGTTATTTTCTTATAGTTGAGTTTTTGTATGAAACAGTTTAATTCATTAATTGCTTTCGTTTGTACTATTTCCCATGTTTTATCTGAAAATAATAAGCACGTATCATCCGCATAGGTAACTATTGAACCGTCAAGTTGCATATTACATATACTGTTTATATAAATTATAAATAGAACTGGACCAAGTACACTTCCTTGTGGTACACCACAATTTATTGTATAATCGTTACCTATTATTCCGTTAATCGTAACCATCTGTCTTCTATAACTCAAATAGCTTGAAAACCATTTTAAGCTTTCATTAACAATACCAAAACCAGGCATTATCTTTAGTAATTCATTATGATCAACGGTATCGAAAGCTTTCGCAAAGTCTAAAAAAACAGCGATTGTTTTTTTATTATTATCTAGAGCATCATAAATATTTTTTGAGACCATATATAGCGCATCTGTAGTTCCTAATCCCGGTCTAAATCCATACAGATTTTTCGAAAGAAGTTTATTATTTTCTAAAAAGGCCATTAATCTTGTCTTTACTATTTTTTCTAGAATCTTTGCTAAGTTATTGATCATCGATATTGGTCTGTAATTATTTACTAGTTTTTTATTCCCATTTTTAAAGATTGGTTTAACAATTGTTGTTTTGAACTGTGATGGAAATATTCCTTCTTTTAGGCTTTTGTTATAAATAAAAATTATTGGATTTAATATAAATCTTGATATACTTTTTATTAGTTTTACCGATAATTGGTCAAAGCCTGTTGCCGTTTCATCTTTTAAATTATTAATTAACATAATTATTTCATCTTTATCAACCGATTTAGTGAAAATGGTATCAAAGTTATTATCATTAGGACAAAGTACTTCTATCTGATGTGATTTAATAAATTTCTTAGACAATTGTGAGCCAATTGTAGTAAAATATTCATTAAATGCATTGCATGCTTTAATTGTTTCATTATTAACATCAATTATTTTATTATCAATTTCTAAACATTTTATAGTGTCTTTATTATTAGCCATGTTACCTACTACTTCATTAACTAGTTTCCATGTAGCTTTTGGATTAGACGATACCGAGTTAAATTTGTTTTTGTAGAAATGGATTTTGGCCTCTCTTATAAGTGTATTAAGTTTATTCCTGTAAGATTTATAATATTTAATTAATGCATTATTTAATGGGTGTCACATTTTGCTCTCTGATAATCTTATTTTCAGTTTGCAGTTCTCCCAGAGTTGATAAAATGTCCTTCATTTGATTTTTGAAACTTTCAAATTGTTCACTCATAAATTCAACGGATTCTACTAAACTCTCAATAGTAGAATCCGAGAAAGAGCTAGTCTTAGATTTGGTATCTTTATTATTTTTGCATTTAGAACAGTTCCATAGTTCTTTTGACTCACTTTTCATTTTACGAAATATAGTTTCTCTAAGTCCTGCGCAGCCAAAGTGTAAGAATTCATTGCATTTGTTACATTTTAACTCGTCTCCCTTGTAGATTTCTTCGTTGCAAATTAAGCAGATCATTATACGCACAAATTACGTTAAATTTATAAATACGAGAAACAAACCGCTGATAAGCAACAGGTAACAACTACCTTCTAACTATACTATGCATAACGATCTCCATATGAGAACAATAGTTGAGGAAGCACGCAGTTTTTACACTTGTTTCCACAAACGACTCCATTTCAACCCTCTCATAAACGATCTCTCTATCCTTACATTACCTGGAAATCCTAACCGCAGACTGAAAATTAAGTGGTGCCGCTACCTATTACAAAACTATAATGTCTAACGTCTCGAAAAAAAAAAAAATATATATAAATTATGTAATTATAGTAAAATTTATTTAAAATAATTAATCAATTAGTCAAGAGTCACTAATGGGTGGCTGCTTAAATCACGCCTGTCACGTATCATGTACTTATATCATATAAGCTTATTGTGCAAATTGTATAGATTGTTTATTTCAAATAAAAAAGAAAAAAAAAAGTTCATAAAAAAACAAGTGTGTATTCGTATTGTGTTATTTGAACTTACCAACCTACTGTTACATTACTAATAATTTACATCGTTTATTATAACGCATCGCGTATTATCTGTTTTTAAAAAATAATTTTATTAAGAAAATTTAGTTTGAAATAATTTTAGGACAACATTAAAACCAACGATTAGAGATATCGGCGTGCTTTTGCATAAACGAATGGTATGATTTAACACTAGGTATGAAAAAAATACAGTTACATTTGTTTGTATATGTGACTTAGGTTAATTATAATATATGCTAATGTTATTGAATCGACAAACGTGGTTCATTGTGTTACGATATAGAATATTTAATTTTTCGTATTTTTATGCATTTTCAACGCAACTACAATAGATTACTACTCAATATAAACATATTTAAAATTTAATTCGTCTAAAGAGACATTGGAAACTATAAAAAACTGGGCTATAATGAAATATTACACAGGGTGATTTTTTTTTATCAAAAGGAACTCATAATTTTGAAAAAAGTCAACTATACATATTTTAAAGTTATAAATAACTACATTACAGTTTCTAAAATTGAATGTAATATTTGATTTTTTACGTTTATATTAATTATTTTGTTAAAAACTTAAACCGTAGAAAAATTGTGGTTTTAAAAAAGCAATCTATATATAGTATAATATGTTTGTTATAATAAATTAATAAAACGTTTATTTGTATTACATTTTTTTCCACATTTATTTTTTGAGAAAAACCTCCTTTTAGGTTTAGATCTTATTGGAAAGGGCTTATTTATTTTTCATTATTGTAGTATAGTATAGTATATTATTTACAGAGTTATTAATTTATTCGGTTTAACTTTAAAATGTCTTCTTCCACAATGGAGCTTAGATTTTTACTTAGGCATTTGCCTTCCTCATTTTATCTGTTGGACATAAACGAAAATACAAAAACTGTTCTATTTAGAGAGTTTGTCAAACTAAATATACACCTACAGATTTACGTTAATTACTCAAAGCACTGAACGGTCATATAAATTATCTAATATACACAGGGAGTCTCGCTCTGGGTTGGGGCTTGTATTTTTTAGGTGCATACAGTATAATATTATATCGAGACAAACTGATCATTATTAAGTAATCGAAGTCGTCGAATCAACAAGTAGCTGAAAGGACATGATATTATAAGTGCGGCTTCAAGTTGTTTCAAAAAAAAAAAAAGTTAAAGGAAAATTGTATAATGTATTGTGTCCATTGCTACAGTTGAATTGAAATCTTTTGTGATAATGTGCACACTCAATAAAAAAAGCTTTCTTTTGAAGTTT